AAAAACGGTTTTAAATGCTTGGGATCGTTAGTGCACCTTGCAAAACCTGTGCAAACTTAATTTGCCTTTGTTCTGAGTCCTCGTTCATTTTTGGTGAATTTTTTCCCCTACTGACATGCAATGAACCTAAGTTTGACAGCTGTCAAACTTAGGTTCATTGCATTTCAGTAGGGGAAAAAATTCACCAAAAATGAACGAAGACTCAGAACAAAGGCAAATTAAGCTTGCACAGGTTTTGCAAGGTGCACTAACGATCCCAAGCATTTAAAACCGTTTTTGAACCTTTGAAGACACTTTAAAAATTGCGAAAACAGAACATCGCTAAGCGAAACAGGGGACCTAAAACTGTCATCGCTAAGCAAGGCAAGATCCCGAACATCGCTATGCAAATTTTCCCCATAGGGAACATTGCTAAACGGAGTGCAAAATCGCTCCAAAAACCTCATCGCTAAGCGAATACATCGTTGAGCAAGGCAATCGCTAAGCGAGGCACCACTGTACTTGGAATTGTTGCAGACTTCTAGTAAGTCTGTGTCTTGGGGAGGGGAGAAGGTTTTCAGATTTCCATCACTCTTTTTGGCTTGCTTCTGATGTGTTTAATGCTTCAGAACTGGTATATGTTCCATTTAATGTTGTTTAGTTGTTTAGTCAGTATGTTGGAATATCAGCTAGATGCTGATTGTGCACACCATCATACATTCTATTTTTATTTCAAAGCATATTTTCTCTATTTTTTTAAAAAAATTGTATGTCTACAGCAGTCTGATGATCAAGGCCAGCAGTTTTATACTCACATACTTGGAAACAAGTATAATTGAATTCTATAGAACTTACTTTTCAGTAGCTGCTTTGCGTACTCTTGAGAACGACTGGTCATAAAATATTTTAAATAAATAAATAGTAAATAAACAATGAATATAGATATGTGCAGTGTTGAACTGCAAGTTCCAAAAAGTTACTCAGACAGTGGGTGGTAGCAGTATTTTTCATGCAATGGCAAATACAATATGGCTAGAACATGGGAAAAATTTTTCTGGATTTAACCACTGAAGAATCTGTAGGAAACAGTACTGCTGTATCTTCCTTTTTGCTTGCCCTGAAGGATGAGCTATTCACTTATAGAAAGCTGGCTATATGAGGGAAGGAGACAGGGAATCCTCCTGCCCTAATGGCCAGCTGTCTCTAATCAAACATGTGCTTGGTGAAAGATAAAAGGCTTGGAATTGGCAAAAATGGTATAAGAGGAATTCCTATGATTCACTGCTTGTTTTGGGTGACTCAGTTCTCTAAAATAGGTCCCCAACTGCTGGTCTGCAGCCCGGTGCCGGTCTGTGGGCTTCCCATGACCATGCTGTGGAGACGGATCTTTGCCCGCCCGCCCGCCCGCTGGGTGTGTTGTGCTCGCGGGGGGTCGTGTTGCGCTCACAGATGTGAGCATGACATGCCCCTACCTTTCTCTCTCTGTTGGTGCTTTTTGTTTCTTAGCTGTGGAATGGGGTACGGGAAGGTAGATGTGTGAGGCGTGCTCCCTTGGGCAGTGCGTTTTGGGGAGGCAGTGGTGTGGCAATTGTTCAAAAAGTGCTTCAACAAAGCAGGTATGGAAAGTTGCAGACAGGAATAGCTGGGAAGTGGGGGGAGGGAGGACACCGAAGATGCCCAATGACTGCCAAAGATCAAGCCAGCCCTTTGCAGTGTGATGCGACAGGGAAAGCCGTGAGGTGTTTCAAAGTCCTTAAACCCACACGCCACCAGCTGTTTCCTCCTGCAATAAGAGCATGAATCTGCTGTTTCTTCAACGTGAGTTTTCCTTTCCTTTCTCCTCTCCTAGTCTCTAATGGCTTGGTGGCTGCCAGCACGGAGGCAAAGAGCTGAACGATCAATGAGAAGGCTGCAAAGATTGGGGTCCCATGGTTCTACGGGAGGGATTCCTTGAGCTAAGCTAGCGCAGCGTTCCTGGCAACTTTGATAGGGATGGAGGCATGTGGGTTCTTCCTTTTTGGAACCACGAACTGGTTGGGGCGGGCTCTAAGCGGTTTCTGCATGTTTCTCCCTACCCTGAACTGTGTTGTTGATTATAGCCTCTATTCCATAGAATTAATTCAGTGCCACTGAAAACTGAGCTAGTCACTACTTGATAACCTGGCCCTTGTTATCTGCTGAGCCTACACTGAGATAACGACCATAGAAAAATAGGTGGTTTGATTATTGGCACTGTTGACAATTGTTATGCCATCTCCAAAACTGCCACTCTTGTGAGTCATTTCTGGGATTTTAGGGTGTGGCAGTCCATATGTATTCTCTTCTGCAGGCTGCTAGTTACTAACCACATGCAGAACATTGATGAAACTGGTTGTAGTTTTTTATTTATTTTATTATTTATTTATTTATTTAAAATATTTTTACTCCTAAGAAATGCCCAAGCCAGTTTACATAATTAAAACACAGTATTAGTGCAAAACAGTGAATTATTCAAACATTAAACCAATGAATAGCATTAGATTAGAAATATTAAAAATTATATTAAAATAAAGCATAAGATAGGTAAATATAAAATAAAGGTACAGCATTACTAAAAAGACATAGATGCAAAAGATTTCAAATCATATAATTTTAAAACTTTTCCTAGACAGTCAGTCACTAAGGAAAAGTCTGCCTGTAGAGAAAGTTCTTTACCTGTTTATAGAAATAATCTTCCTACCTTCTGAAATATATAGTCTCACTGTTAGACAAGGATAATATAAAAGGGAAAGGGTTAAAAGAAGGGAACAGAAGGACCGAGAGTCAAACCTGTCAGATGGCTGGGAAGTTATAGAAGTAGAGGACCCCTGGACAGGAGAGTGGGTTACTTTCCAGGTAACTAAGGAAAAAGCAAAAGAAGAAGAAATAGAGAAATACCAAGGAAGCCCTCTTATGGGGGAGGGGAGATAGAAAAGTGGGAGAGAAGAAGGCTGAAGAGAGAAGCTAGAAAGAAGGCAGAAAGGGAGAGGAGAGGAAAACAGCCGAGGTCAGATTTAAAGAGGAAAGAGACACTTTGGGAGCTAGATAGTGGCAGGAAAGAAAAAGAGAAAAAGGGGGCTTGGGGTCAGCATGTCTATGGCAATTGCCATTGGCCCCACAAACAGCATGTCTATGGCAATTGCCATTGGGCCCACAAACGCTAACCCCAGATGTCGAATTTGACCCCATTCACTCTTATTTATAGGTTGCTTTTCTCCTAATAAGGGGACTTAAGTCAGCTCCCAGTATTAAAAAGAATAGACCTGAAGACACAATAAGTTTATACATTTAAAACTGGAACTGTAAAACTTATTAAAATATATTGAGTGATTCAGAACATATAAAATGTTAAAAACTATCTTAACTAGAGATGGGGGTATTTGTATATGAATACAAATATCCCCGTGCAGCTGTACTTAACCAGGGTCTGGCCTCTGGGGCCAGACTGTCTACTTGCATGTCCTACAGCGGCCCCGCTCATCCTTCCAGTTGTGCCCAGAGTGTCTCTCTTCCTGCTCAGCTGGCCATTCCAGTCAGGGGGGAGAGTAGATGAGTCTCCCTGCACAACTGCTGAGTGGCCAGCCGAGTGGAAAGAGAGCTGCGCTTCTGGCACAATTGGAAAGATGAGTAGGGCCACCACAGGACACGTGAGTGGATAGTCTGGCCCCAGGGGCTGGACCCTCGTTAAGTCCAGCTGCGTGGGATATCTGTATTCGTAAATAAATGCCCCCATCTCTAATCTTAACTTAAAATGGCATTCAGGGGTTCATTCTAGCCCTTGGGCAGTTAGGAGGCAAATGAGTAGTTTAAGATCACCAGGACTAGCTTAGTAGATTTTTCTGCTGAGATATAGAACTTTATTGCCTGTGGTGATTAACTTTCCATGGATCTCAAAGGAAGTCCAGAATAATAAACTTTAAACATGCAATAACAAGGTTTGTCATTGATGTTCTCCTGTATCTACCTTAATGTTTGGGTGCTCAAACAGCAATAGTTGCCAAATGAGCTTTTGTCAAGTTTAGTCTACGGTAGTAGCTATGCCCATTTTAATATCAGATATGCATTGGTGATGCATGGTGTATTTACATTGTGGTTATGCCACTGTAGCATGGTCTATATGGTGCTCCCTTTAAGGCAGGGATCGTCAACCCACAGCCTGGTGCCGGTCCATGGGCTTGCCAGAATTAGGCCGCGGATACAGATCTCCACCCCCGACATGCCCTCTGCAAGTGCGACACGCCCACTGTGCTCACGCGGGGATGCCCCCCCCGGACATGGAGCTTGCTTCCCCCCAGCCGATCCACAGCCCCAAAAAGGTTGGGGACCGCTACTTTAAGGAATCTCCAAAAGCTTCAGCTGAATAAGGATGCTCAAAGGGAGACAGATGGGTGAGTGTATTATGCCCATCTTAAATCAACTTTGCTAATACTTTTTTTTGCGACAATTTGAGGCATAGATTATTACCTATAAAGCTCTAAACATGTTGACTTGGGAGAACCTAGAGAACAGCTTTGTGCTTCATTGGGCTAATTCTCTAAAATCAGCCAGAGAGGATGATTGGGCTTCTGGGAGTGTTTTTTATGGTTGTACAGCTGTGGAGTGCTCTGTAATGGGAGTGGGGGCTGTTTGACCTCTAGTCTTTGATTTTATGTTATTTCACCAAGAAATATTGGTGAATTTTTTTACTTCACTATGTGGAATTTCATATTGATGTCCAGTTCATAAAATAATGGTCACACTGTCTCATATGCTTTTCTGATTTTGTCATGAATTTCATCTTTATTTTTAGAGGATTGGAATGCTTGGGGTCCTTAATATGGCTTATAAAAACATACAATGACCTAATTACTTAAATTCTTCTTTTAAATTTAGGTTTTGAGTTTTCTTTGCACAGTTACTAAGGAGAAAGTTATTAAACTCAGTGGGGCTGTTTCTGAGTAGACTTGTTCAGAATTTTACAGAATTTTGTATACTGTACTCAAAAGCTTTTGTGTGTTTTGCAGATTAACTACTGAAGTACTGATCGAGTTCTGCTGCTCTTCAATGAGGAACTACAGGCTGATCTTCTGCCATAACCTCAAGCAACCATAAATGACAAAAGAATGCTTGGTCAGTAAAGGTAGCTGGCGTAGAAAATATTTTGTGAACGTAGGTGTTTAAGTGCTCTAAGGTAGGTCTTCTTGGCAATTCATTTTCCCTTTACAAAAGCAAAGCTTAGAACATTATTTCTTTAAATTTGCTGCCTTTTAAAGAAAAGCTACGTATTCTTTGAACATTAATATGTTACTAATATACAGTATTGTTAGTGTGTTTATTCTTAGTTACATTTAAAGTTACCTGTGGGATTGTGAAGTTTATTCCCCGGCCAGCCTCTATGAAAAGTTGACTGGAGGTTATATCATCTTGAATGAGTAACAGCCTCCACTTCCCCTCCTTCATCCATCCAAGATGATTGAAACCCCATATGCTTTCCCCCTCCATTTTCTTGCGAAGAAAGAAATTTTGGGTTAGAAAAGTGGGAGGGGAGCATCTTACACATGGGGGTGTCTTATACACAGAAAATATGATAAGTTGTGGAAAAACACTTGAATGGAATAGTCTTTTGAAGAACATGGCACGTTCCAAAATTGAGCCTCTTTGATAAGGTTCAGTTTCCTCTTTCCTAGCTTTAAGCAAATAGTCCAAACATTTCATTTCACCAAGGATTTGAATCTTTTCCTTTTTCCTTTACTACCCTGTTTCCCCGAAAATAATACTTAACCTGAAAATAAGCCCTAGTACAGTATGATTTTTCAGGATTCTTGTAATATAAGCCCTACCCCCAAAATAAGCCCCGCTTAAGTGAAACCCCGCTTTCCACCATTGTCCAGCAACCAGAAGATGACATGACTGTATTTGAATAAATGTGGATTGTTATAAATGAAAAAAAAATCCCCTGAAAATACGCCCTAATGCATTTTTGGAGCAAAAAATAATATAAGACCCTGTCTTATTTTCAGGGAAACACGGTAATATGAATGCCTTTAATGTACATCTGATTTATATCCCTCCTTTCTAATATAACTTTGTTTGATTTTATTGTGTATATTTGTTCTCTGTTGTGAGCTGTCTTGGTGGCTCTTCTAGCTAAAAGACACAATATAATTTTAAAATAAAAGTAAGCGAATAAGTAATAGATGCATTTATTTTAAAATGCAAACACTTGAATGTGATTTACAAATCAAATTACAGTTGTAAAATGCAGAAATAAAGATTTTATTAAATACTGTAAATCTGATAAAGTACCATCAATTAGTGTGAAAGGACTCAAATCAAAGGCAACTTTATTTTACAGAAAGACAGCTTTGACACTGGGCTGCATAAAGATATGAGGAAGAGCTCTTCCCCTTCTTTGAGTAACTGCAACTCTGTTCTCACTAATAAAATATTTGGAATTCCACTCAATGAACTGCAGCAGGAAGGACAGCCAGGCAGTGAAGTTCCATTCATAGTCCGCCATGTTGTGGATTATATAGAGGAACATGGTATGTGTTTTCATTCTGTGCCTTCATTGCAAGCTTAGTTTGAAAAGATCAGTATTTTTCACATGTACTCTTTTAGAATTTATTAATGTTTATTTCCTTATGCTTTAAGAGAGTGAATAGTATATTCTTCCTTTCTTTGACTGATTGATCTATTTATTTATTTATTATTTATTTATTTATTTATTTATTTATTTATTTATTTATTTATAACAAATTTATTTATACTGCCCCACAGTCTTGCAAAAAAAAAATATTCTCGCAATATTAAAAAAACAAATTCCAAGGGTGATGGGAAGTATCAAGTTTTTTTCTCTGCTTCTTGTTGATACGGTATTCATAGGTCATACATGAATGTTGGTAAGAACAAAACGCTTCAGAAATAACAGCAGACATTCATGTTGACAGTTTACAAATGTAGAGGGTGAAGGTTCAAAGCATTTTGAGCAAGCCCTGGTGATTTCTGGTTTGCAGTTCCGCAAGTGAGAAATCACCCTGTTGCAAATGGCAATGCTTTTCATGCTGTTTGCAGAAGGGGTTTGTGTCTTCTTTGTGTAAACAGCATTAAATAAGTGAGCAATTCCATGTGCAGTTAATATTAGAGAGGATGCTGGCTCTCGCTTTCCAAGTGCTTATCTCATTAAAACTGCCAACTGTCATGCACTTTGTTATATTTTCTGAGTATGTATTCTACTTTTCTTCCAAAAACAGCACTTGATTAATAACATTGAAATGAAAATAAATACAACTAAAATAATATAAAAATGTGCCAAAATGTATTCAGAAGCAACCATATTTGTTTGTGCAAAAGGTTTGTACAGAAGCAGGGGGTTCTGCAGTACAGTGGTGCCCCACTAGACGATTACCTCGGTAAACAACGAAATCGCTTGACGATGACTTTTTGTGATCGCTGTTGCGATCGCAAAACGATGGTTCCTATGGGGGAAATCCGCTTTATGTTGATTAGGTCCCTGCTTCGCGAACCGTTTGTTCGCTAAACAATGATTTTTTCCGGTTCCGTAAAATGGCTGTTTTCCGGACAGAAGCTTCGGAAGGCAGTGATTTTAAACAGCTGATCGGCAGTTCTCTATGGGCAATCTTCGCTGGACAATGAGGTATTTCCCCATTGGAACGCATTAACCGGTTTTCAATGCATTCCAATGGGGATTTTTTCCCCACATGACGACGATTTCACTGTACAGCGACTTTCCTGGAACGGATTATCGTCGTCATGCGGGGCACCACTGTAGAGGGATGAACATCTGTGAACAATGAATGAGAAATCTCTCTCATTCATCCCTACCCAACACATGTCCTATAGCACTGGGAGTGAGAAAAGCACTTCCCTTCAGATCATAACACTCGAGTTGGCTTGTATGAGAAATGATGGTCTTTCACAAAACTTAGTTCCAAGTGATACAGGACTTTATGTTTCACATCCAGTATGTTGAATTGTGCCAGTGAAGATGTAGTAGCAGTATGAGTAAAAGCATATACAGTAGCTTACAACAAACTTAGTGAAGCTATTGAAAAACAATGGAATAACCCGCCTTCATCATGGCTGTATAGCTTCAGGCCAGCTGAGGTTTTTGAATATTTTTAGTCATTCCCATGTAGAATGTATTTGCACTTGTCCAAATGAGATGTAATTAACATATGAGTTATTTTAGATGTTTCTCACATCTTGAGGAGTGAGTGCAGTTGATGCACTGTCCTTAACTATACCAAAATACTTAAGTCCAGGGTTGTCTAGGAGTACACCTCATTTGTAAACCTGAGTCTTCAAGAATAGCACAAACTCCATCCAGGATAATTGAATTTATTTCCTGCTCTGCCTGTTTACTAAGAAGGAGCACTCTTACTTATCTGTCTTAATATTCAGTTTGTTCATCCTCACTTTGTTGTTGCTAGCATCAGATATTGATTAAAAATCAGTAGGTTTAGATGGAAAGAATAAACATTAGTGTTATCACCATAGTGATGGCACCAAAAGTACAAAACCTGTTTATTATGTCTCTATTTTAAATAGCCCATGAACAGTGTGGAACCCTGAGGGATATGATGGTACAGTGGCCACAGTATGGAGCTTGGGTCCCCTGCACCACTCTCCTAACTTTTCACTCTGGGTATAGCTAATACCTGCCACTAAGTATATTATAAGAGAGTGCCTCCAGATATGCGACTGAGAAACATACTGTGGTTGATGATACAGAAAGCTGCCAAGAGGTCCATCAGAGCCAACAAGGAAACATTGTTCTGGAACTATACAAAGTTCCTTTATTACTCTTCCTCCATCAAATATAGATAAACAGAGTGTCTTGCCAAAAGTGAAGCCACATACCAAGTAGGACGTGATATGGCACCCTCATCATATATGTTCCCCAGCACAACGACTAAAGGGCACCAACCTGATATTATTCTGGCTAGGGATTGTTGGGCTGTGGGGTCAGATAGTATGTCTGGGGAATCTTGGTTGTGTTTTGGGCACCCAGGTTCAGATACATGCACTCAAAACTGGAGGGCTGCAGAATGGAATGTTGTTACTAAGATAATAATAGATTAAAGCAACTCCTCTTCTGAACCCTATCTTACCTGCCACTAGGTATAGAAAAGTGCCATGCAAGGTTGAGAATAGATTTCATAGACCTGTTAAATAATAGTACTTTTAATCCTAGTTAACACAGGGTGCTTTAACTAGAAGACAGGAGTAGTCCCACAGTACTGACTTGTATGGTATTCCAAAAGTATGCTGTCAGACAGATAATGATACAGTACTTAAATCTGAGAGAACAAAACAGTGTTAAAATTTTATTATGTATTTTTCATACATCCTGAATGCTTTGGCAGAGATATTTTTGCTTAAAATAAACTCAGAATATGTTTTTTCCCCATCCTGATTTAAGGGGGTCTAGAGCAAGAAGGACTTTTCCAGGTCAATGGAAATGCAGAGACAGTGGAGTGGCTTCGGCAAAGATATGATAATGGAGAAGATGTGGATCTGGTTAAAGAAGCAGATGTACCTTCAGCGATTAGTCTTCTTCGATTTTTCCTTCAAGCACTTCCAGAACCAGTTATTCCTGGCACTCTACATATGCATTTGATACAACTTTCTCAAGGTATTGGGGTGATTCTTCTATGGGTTAAATAGCTTCAAGAAATAACTAGATCAAAACTTCAGAATAGCAATAGAATTTTTCCTTTTGATGTTCTACATGTCTTTAAATGTAAATTGGAAGTTCTGCCTTCTGCTCATCAATTTCAGAATCTGTGTATGGTGGAGAAGCTAGAGCAGACTACCATCATTTGCTCGTCTCCCTCTGGACAGATCAATTAATAATATGTGACCAGAACATTTGCCTATGGACCAATATTTATTGCTCTGAAATGCTTACAGGATTTTATGTTGTTTAATGACTATGTAGTTTGAGTCTCTGTGTGTTGATTTTATATTCATTAACCATAAGAGATGGAATGCTATCTCTCTGGTCTTGTTGGAAACAGTTTTCAGTGGCTGGTCCTCAGTCTTCTTCGGATATTTGGGAAAACTGATATTCTAGAAGCTGAGCTATGAATTTTCAGTCAGTTCATACAATAAAGACTTAAGTCAGATTCACATTCAGAAAGACATCTTCCATATCATTTCCTGCCAGACTCATGAGATGCCTCTCCTTTGTAATACTTGAGGAGTGTAGAGCTTCAAAGAAATTTACGTTTTCTACAAGTGTGATCACACCCCTTCAGGATTTGTCTGTTTTGGATTAAATTGTATCTCTGTGTTGCTGTTCAATATATTTAAATAATTGGCCAAAATCCTGTTCTGCAAATTATGCCTGAGAAGTTTATATAATTGCGTAAACACCAGAGAAGTTGACATAATCAGATAATCCAATTATGTTGCCATTTGACGCCAAGTTCCACCTGACCATTGGTGAACCTAATAGGGTTTTCAAAGTGTGGGAGATAAAGGAGGAGTGATTTTACCTTTGCCACATCCCAAGTGAGTTTTTGTGACCAAGAGGGCATTTCCAGATATTTTGAGTCCTAGTCTGTTACTATATTCATCTCTGGTTCTGTACCAAACTAGGTTTTTGTACAATAGGCGAAACGTCTCACAGCAGTATTATTCTCACACCAAAATGAAGCTGATAATTTACCCTGAGCTTAAGAAACGAAATATGAAACAGTTAAACAAAAATAAGCATACAAAAAAGGCATCCAAATAGTTATGAAAATATATTTTATCCAAACCTCTGAATGTTGCCACAGCCACAAACCTGAGAAGTTAATAATACTCAGTAATTTTATTCAATTGTTTGGTTTTCAGTAAAGTCTCTGATGTGAAGAGTGCATCCTAGGAAATTGTGTTGTGCAGTTACACAAAAGGTGTAACTTTAGAGGTGAATTACCTTAAGTTAAATCTCTGTAGACATTATCTGTTCAATGCCAAGTTGCATGACTCAGCATGCAGCAGATAATGTCTACAAAGTAGGTAGCTTGCCTCTAACATTTATGCCTTTTTCATAACTGTTCAACAGGATTTCAGCCAATAAGTTTTTTCCCCCTAAAATACAGTGGTGCCTCGCTTAGCGATTGTTTCGTTTAACGATGTATTCGCTTAGCGATGGGTTTTTTTTGAGGAATTTTCCGCATCGTTTAACAATGTTCTCTGTGGGCGATTTTCACTTAACTATGTCCGTCTTCACTCATTTAAAAGTGTCTTAAAATGTTTGAAACCTGTTTTAAATGCTTGGAATCGTTAGTGCACCTTGTGAAACATGTGCAAACTTAATTTGGCTTTGTTCTGAGTCTTCATTACTTTTTGGTGAATTCCCCCCCCCATTGGAATGCATTGAACTGTCCGTTCAATGCATTCCAATGGGGGGGGGGGGAAATTCACCAAAAAGTAATGAAGACTCAGAACAAAGCCAAATTAAGTTTGCAAAGGTTTCACAAGGTGCACTAACGATTCCAAGCATTTAAAACAGGTTTCAAACATGTTAAGACACTTTTAAATGAGCGGAAACAGACATCGCAAAACCATTGAAATGCATTGAATAGGCTTCAATGCATTCCAATGAGGGAAACATTGTTTCACTTAGCGATGTTTCCTATGGGGATTTTCGCTTAAGGACGGTAATCCGTTCCCATTGGAACGGATTAACCGGTTTTCAATGCATTCCTATGGGAAATGGTGTTTCGCTTAGCGATGTTTTCCCATAGCAATGTGTTTTTTTTGGAACCAATTAACATCGTTAAGCGAGGCACCACTGTATGTACTAGGATTGAGTTCTGTTTTTTTCAAAAATAAAACTTGACAGTCTTCTCTAGCACAGAACATCATTAAGAGCTTCCCAAATGAGTCTGTAAGTATAGTCTAAATAACTCCACATAGATGTTACTATCATAGAACTATGACCCATTCTGTTGCTAGTAAAATGTGTGTCTTATTTGAAGGGTATGGTACAAATCCTGGGCCAGATTCCTTCCATTCCTCTCGACAGTCCTTGGACATACCTGAAAAGAGACTCAAAAGGCTTCCCTGATCTGCCCATGGATCCTACTCCAAATTTCCATGTGAACACCCAAATTCTTTCTTCTTCATGACAATGATTTCCTGTTGCAATGTAAAAGTAGGGCTTAAAACAGTTGATTTCTGTTCTGTATACAAATCTTTCTTTCACAGATTTCTGTTATTAATTTAGTGGAAGACACCTGCTCAGTTTGATATTGTTGTTTGCAAGCTAATAAGCTGCATCTCTAGTGTATATCATGCAAACAAAAAAATCTATTAATCCAGATGATCCCTTTTTGTTTGTGATATTCTGGTTCTGATACGCATATTGTTACATATAAATATATTAAATTATGGAATTGTGTTACAGGTGAGAATATAATGTTCTAAATTTATTTATATATTTGATTTATTTTATTTTTATACTGCCCATCTGGCTACCCAGGCCATTATGGGCAGTTTACAAATTAATATAATACAATATAATAATACAAAACAAGAAGACAAAAATAATCAATTGCATTTTAGACAAAAAACAATAATACCAATAAGAAAGAAAATATCAAAATAATAAAATAGGCATGGGGGAGGGTTGAATGTATCATTGTTAAAGCACTATTGTATCAGTAAGTTCTACAGTCCAGGAAGGCCTGTCTAAGTAACCATTTTTTTTAATGATATCTTGAACGTTCCCAATGAGGGGGCCAGGCGAATTTCGGGTGGGAGACCATTCCACAGTTGCGGAGTGACCGCTGATAAGGCCCAGTTTCTGGTCGTCGTTTTCCAGGCCCCTCTCGGGGTCAGAACTCTCAGCCATTGCCCTGGGAAGATCTTATAGGACAGGCAGATCTTGCCAGAAGGAGGCGTTCTGCCAGATAATGAAGTCCCAAATCGTTTAAAGCCTTATATGTTAACACTATCATCTTGAAGCTGGCACAGAAACTTACAGGTAAACAGTGCAGGGCAGCCAGAGTGCGGGAAATACATTGATGTCTCCTTACCCCACTCAGTAGTCTGGCTGCTGAATTCTGGACCTGCTAAAGTCTGTAACAGCACCAAGGACAGCTCCACATAGAGAGCATTGCAGTAGTCTAATCTCAAGATTACCAGTGCATGGACCAGCATGGTGAGGGAGGTAGGGATGCAGCTGGGTAATCCGCTTTAGATGGAAAGACACTATCTGAGATCCCATTGAGAGCACAGGGTCCAGCAGTGTGCTTAATCTGCACACCTCATCCTTTGCAGAAAAAATGCCCCCCCAAAGGAAAGGGAAGCACCCAGACCACAGACACTAGGGGCACTCACCTGCAGGATTTTTGTCATGTCCGGGTTCAGACTCAGTCTATTATCCCTCATTCGTCCCAGTACCTCAAGGGACAGGACAGCATCCACTGCAGGAAGTTGGAAGGAGAGATAGAGCTGGGTGTCATCCACCTACTGGTGACATGAAGCTCCAAAACTCCTGATGACCTCCCCCAGAGCCTCCTATAAATATTAAATAGCACTGGGGAGATTATTGACATCTGCAGGACTCCACAATTGAGAGTCCACAGAGCAGGCAGCATCTCCCCAAGCTGTACTCTCTGAGGACGGTCCTCTAGGAATGACTGGCGCCGGGCCAAGGCTAAACCTGTGATCCCCAACCCAGAGAGCCTCCCCAGGAGGATACTATGACCCACGGTATCAAAGGCCACTGATAGCTCTAGGAGAGCCAACAAGGACATTTTGCCCTTATGAGCCTCCCTCGAAAGATCATCTTGCAGGGCAACCAGTGCTGTCTCAGTGCCATGACACAGCCTGAACCTGGACTGGAATGGATCAAGGGCATTGGTCTTCTCCAGAAGTGCCTGAAACTGTTTTGGCACTACTCTCTCCACTAGCTTGCTAATAAAAGGGACATTGGCAACAGGTTTATGTCATCTGCAGCCAAATTGAGCTTTTTGTGAATCAGTGTAATGAGCATCTCCTTAAGGACAAGAGGCACCCTGCCCTCCAGAAGAGACCCATTGATAATGGCTGTAGCCCATTCTGCTGTTATAGGTCTGGCCCCCTTCAACAGCTGGGCTGGGCAAAGGTCTAGTAAAGAAGAAGTGGCCCTGCAAGCACTATTAATAAAGCACTATTAACTATTAGGTTGTAATGGCAACTTCATAAATTAATTCTCTATATAAAGTGTAATGATTTGTTATATAAGAGTACAGCAGAAATGAAACCTTTTAAAACAAGGGAAGATATTTCAGTATTGTTTTTTAAAAATTCTTGTATCACATTTTACAGATTATAATGAAGATGAATTTGGAAGAAAGTTGAGGTTCCTCTTGCAACAGCTTCCGCCTCTTAATTACAGTTTGCTAAAGTTTCTGTGTAGATTTTTAGCTAATGTAGCATCGCATCATGAAGAAATTTGGTCTGCAAGTTCTTTGGCTGCAGTTTTTGGTCCTGATATTTTTCAGTAAGTTAGATTTTGCTAATCTTGGTGCATTGCTTTTACTGTGACTTTGAATTAAGCATGTTTCTTTAAGTTAAGTTGAATCAAACTTTCTTTAAGTTAACATCAGAGAAAATCATTAAATTGACTTTTTTCGTATCCTTCAGATTCAAATACCTACTTTAAAAGCAGGTATTGATGCTGGTTTAACAGCTGTTTGCTAGTTTTTAAATCTTATTTCATACTCCTTAGGACATTGTAGAATGGTATAGGAAGGAGACTTGCTCTTTTACCTTTAAAATCTCCAAAATTAAAATATGTCTAAAGATGAGTGTGTCCAGTAGATGTTTCCATGTATATGTTTGGGCTCACCACAGTTTGCACATTTCACTATAGCTCTTCATACTACATGGATGCTCAAGCTCATCATTGACAAGGGTAGTAGCACCCTCTGATGAGTGTGATGAGTGGTAGCCCTCTTCCTAAGTTTGGAATTGCAGAGGTGAGTGTGATTTGTTTGCCATTTTCCAAGTTTGCATTGGCTCCAAAGTTGGGAAGAGACTGAGAATTGTTTGGCAGCTGTGTGATCAGAATACACAATGACCCTTTCCATGCTGGGCCAAACTACCAGGTCTTCCGGATCCAAGCATTAGCTTCCCCCCCTACTCCTGGTGTTCTGCTCTAGAGCAAGAAAGGTAGTAAGGTAAAATTACAGGTATTGCTTCCTGAAGAGTTTGCTGTGTCTCCAGGTAATGACACCAAGCAGGTCTTTTCTTAGGGTAAGTTTGGATAAAACTGGAGCCTTTTGGCAGTGGCACTCAGTAATATGTTCATTCCACTGGTCCTTTTCCTTAGTAGAATCTGCAAAGCATCACCAAAAAAAACTACAATTTTCAGTTGCACTTGCTGACTGAGTCAAAAATTGTAGATACCTGTAAATATTGCTCCAGAAGGTCTCTCAGTTTTGGGAAGGAGAATCAAAAGTGTATATTTGGAAAATGGCTTATAAGTTTTGTCTGCACGCACATATAGTATGTCTTTGAGGAATGTTTACAACTTTGGACTAGGCAAATATTAATCATGCATGAATTGATTTTTGAAATCATTAATCTTGTGTTGGATTTTTTTTCTTAGCATTTACACAGATGTGGAGGACTTGAAAGAACAAGAACTAGTTAGTAGAATAATGGCAGGACTGCTAGAGAATTATGATGAAATCTTTGAAAATGAAGAGGAAGATTTCTCATCTAATGATTTAAGTTCAATAACTGAGCAGGTAAGAATCCAATACATTATAATAAATGTTAATAAAATATTTCCAGAATTTTGACTCATCTATTATGGCATGGGTCTAGTACTACTGGCTTGGCTTTCAGTCTAGCCTTTGTTAGTGTTTGGTGCTAAATCTCTGATTGGGCTGGGGTTTCTTTGGAAAGAGGTGTGTTTCTTGGGGAAGCATTGTGCTTAATATCTTCTCCAGGTTGTATCATAAAAGAGGTGTGCTGTAAAGAGGTGTTCCACGTGTTACTAGCTGTCCTAATTGGAGAGCTGCTTGACTCTGTCAAAAAAAATTGCATAGCTTAGTGTCATGATAAGACTTCCCCAGATGAAGCTTTGCTTAATGTTGGGCCTCCTTTTCACCTGTGTAACAACTTTGGCAGTGAGAAGGACTGCAGCATGGACATAAAAGGAAGCTTCAGCTTATGTGCGATTTGTTCTTTCTCTCCACATGTGCATGTTGTGAAATATCAGGTTTCACAAACCAATCTGTTCGGTAGTTCAGTTTGCTAACATACTGAATTAGGATATAGTCTGATAACAGTGATGGAAAAATCAGGAGCATAGTCCACGGAGGGTAAAAGTTGATTTCGTTGCTGAGATATCTATAGAGAAACAACTGCACAGTTTGAAAAGAGCCAATCTCTTTCAGAGGTGTAGATTTAAGGCACCAAGCAAGAACCTATAAGCTGTTGTCTGTAAGATAGCCACATTTTTACTTTAGAGTAACTTTTCCCCCAAGTTTTGAAATTTTAATATTCTTGGTTTCTGGGAAGTCATGGCCTTATTGTTCTATTTGCATATATGCATTTTTGTTGAAGATAAATGATCTGTTAGATGAAGATGATATTAAGCTTGAGCAGTCTGAAGAACTGCCAGAAGAAGAAGAAGAAAACATGGAGGAACCTGAATACAGGCAAGATATGGAGCCGCAGGATGTGATGCAGAGCATCTTGGAGTCATGTAGTGTTTCTGCATCAACAAGGTATTAACAAAGATACTGGTATAAACAACACTAGATATTAATATTTATCAATTTTCTTAATTATGAGTATTATGTGTCATCAAGTTGGTTCTAACTTATGGCAACTGTGAAAGAATTTTTAAGCTATGTGGGATTCTTAAAGAGTGGTTTTAACATTTCCACCCCGTAGTGAGTTTTCATGTCTAAGTGATTTGAGCCCAGGTCTCATGAGTCCTAGCTTGACAATTCCATCCACTTCACTATAGTGACTTGTTTTTCTTAGTATGTTTTTTTTTTTGTTCTTTGTTTTACTCTTAGGAGTTGCCATGTTTTCAGTTGTCTAGCATTTTGAGAATAAATATTCAAAATGCATTCATTACATTTTGTCTTCTCCCCTTTCATTAAAGAACACAATGGGGCACTTTAGCTTTTTAGTTATGCTGTGAGAAATCAGGATGAGAGACAACAACGTACCCAAGGCCATACAGTGAGCTCTTACAACTTATACAGTGGTTTGAATATGAGTTTCCCAAACCCACCTTGGCTTTCTTGTGTGTCAGAGTAATGTACATTTGTTTATCAAGTCAGACATGTGCATTTCAATGCATTCAGTGTACTTTTAAATAAAGGATGGAGTACACAAGTAGCACTGGTCCTTATGATCTGGACATAATATCTGACCCAGGTGTACATGCTATGATTGGAAAGAGGTTATGAAAAGCATGAGTTTTTCACTGTATGCAACAAAAGTTTCTAAAAAAACCTACAATGTAATTGTTTTCAGTTTATATATTACATTGCAAACCAAAAAATCCTTCACATAATAGCCTACCTGCACAAAAGCTTTGTAATTGATTTTGACTTTGCTTCTGTAGTATCGGCTGTTCTGGAAGCTTCATTCATATGTTGTATGTGCCGTTTGTGACATGTAAATTGTTGCTGAATATGAAACATAAATTTATTTGATACTCTTACTGACTAAATAAAAACTAGAAAGTTTTTAAGTTGTAAGAAATTCAGGAGACATCATTGTTATCGCCTTCATTGGCAGAGCCTCTAAATAATTCTCAGTAGATGCTTACTTTGCTTTAAAACACTTAGAAGTAAAGAAGCTATGCTATTTGTAATCTGTTGGTCCATCATAGCTTGAAATGAAGAACTTCTGTTATTTAGCTAAGCCTGCCAGTTTGCAATTTGAGCCCACAATTAGGTCTCTAATTCTCTATGGCCACATTTGAACAAACTGTTAAATAAACAGATTAAGTCAATTATGGTGCATAAATTAGGATAATTTTGCTTTATTTTGCTTGAAATTAGGATAAATCAGTTTAATCATTATGTTTTCTTGATCTGTTTTTTAGGGTTATTGTTACTGGTTTTAATATTTCTATTTTCATTTTTGTTTTCTGTTTTATGAGTTGTAACCCGCCCAGAGTAGTGCTGTGACACTAATGGGAGTGGGATACAAAGAGTGACAAACTAACATGCATCTTTTACTTTGTATCCCTCTTTTATACAAAATCTAATATATTATATAACTACTGTATGTCACTGAAGAAAAATGGCAGGAAACTCCAGCATTCCATTTTGTGTTGTGGTTTTTCGTGTTATTTAAGATACAGTATAACAAAAAATATAACAATTTGTTGGGAACATTATATTCCATACCATGTAATCTTCCTTGGATACACCACAAATTCCTTTAAAGGGGGTATTAAAATAGGGAAGTAGGTGTTAATGTGGCCAGGAGTTCTTCACCAAGAAGAAGTAGAATAAAGACCAACCAGAGCTAAAATGTTGATTGGGCAGTTTATTGTCAGGAGTGACCTCATGTTGCAGTCTGTTTCTGTGTAGACTGCAGGGCTTAGTGCAGCACTTCAGTGCCATCTTGCAGGCAGCTGTTGAAGTCGAGCAAGCAGAATGAGTAGCCAACAGAGACTGCCGTACTGTATGGCATTTCAGATGAAGTGTTTTTATGCAAAATGCTCATTTGGAATAGCAAAAATAGTCAGAATGGCTTACAAAGTTCTACTGCACAGGTAAATCAACTTAAAAGTCTACTTTGGTATGATTTAAATAACTTTTAAAAAGATAAAAATAGATGTTTTTGAAATGTACACTACAGTATCAAACACTGAATACAGAGTAATAAGCTACATATATAATCTTAGAAAAGTAAGCTCATGTATGTATTCCTAATTGCTTAGTTTTGATAGTAAGAGTTGTGCTGCTTATGTGGATCAAAAATGTGTTGAAAGACCATGGAAGTGAATTAAAATGTTTATGCTGTGTCATTCTGCATCAGCATTCACACAATTGATGCTGCTGTTTGAAATATAATTGTTTAGAGAGGAATTGGTAGGATATATTGAAATTTTCAACTGAAGCTGCATATCATGTTACTGAAATCTGCTAAAATTATTAGAATGACTTTAAGTTGTAATAGTTACTTCAGGCTTTGAAGTAATATTGTTTGAAACATTTAGTTTTCTGAGTGGCTTAACTGCATTAAAGTTGCAGAGGAGAAAGAAGAAAACTATAGAATGTTTTGTTCCTGTGGCTTGAATAGTGTTTTCGAACTTGAGAAAAGAAATAGTTAGCCCCATGTCTGATAGGATTTGAACATTTCCAACTCTGAATTCCCATGAGTGTGGGTAGTTTTTTATTGTAATTCCATTTTTGTTTTATGTGTTCAGCTTCAAAATACACTTTTTCTAAATAAGTGCATTTATTAAGAAGTTTCAATAAATTAGTTTTGTTCTCTTCTTTAGTTTCCCTTAGATTAATGCTGTGTTACGAAAACACTGTGTTTGAAAAAAATACTCAGTATCAACCTGTATGAGGTGTGAAAAGTATATTGATTAAAGCAGTCCTGAACATATTTCAATATTAAATTATATTTCTTGTTAAAATATGTAGGTAAAAATATTTTAAAAAATTAATCCTTCCCTCAATTTTTTTAATCGTCATGCTTTCTTAATCTTTTACTTTGCACCCCTCAGTCCGTGTAGACAAAATCTAGCATATTATATAACTATTTCATGAAGAAAAATGGCAGTATATTCCAGCATTCTATTTTATGTTGTGGTTTTTATGGTATTTAAGAAATAAAATATGATGATCTATTGAGAGCATTATATTTCACAAATAAGTACTGTATTTGATTACTAAAAAAATACAGTAGTAAAACAGAATAAAAGGTCTGGTTAGGGGTATAAGACACTGCATAATAAAATGAACAAAAAGATGGAAAGATTGGTTTTGTTTAAGGACTTAATCAACAGTGCAGCAAGCAGTTTTCTTGAAGTTCATGGAATAATATGCAGATACTTCTTAATACAGAATTTTAAAAAGTGCATTTGAAGCTCTTGAGTTTTTTGGGGTTGTTTTTTGGAAGAGTTGTTAATTGGGTATATTAGCATGTGTAAGATATGCTTGATACTGAAGAGAGATGCTTGGATATGTTTTTATAAAGCAGAGCTAATCACTGACTTTCCCAGGCACTTTGTACTTAGAGAAGAAAATCTTCTGTTGCCTATACCTCAAAATAAATGCAGCACATGACTAGAAGGGGTTATGGATTGTTTACTGAGTTGAGAGTTATGCCTTATGACGCAGTAGTTATAACTGCAGTACTGCAGCCAAAACTCAATTCACAACCTGGGTTCAGTCCCAGGTAGGTGGCTTCAGGTTCACTCAGCCTTCCATCTTTTCCAGGTCAGTAAATTGAGCACCCAGTTTGCTGGAGTGAGGCAATGTGTAGCCTGCATAATTAAATTGTAAACTATGCAGAGAGGGCTTTAAACGCTATGAGGGGTATATAAGCAGCATGCTTTGCTTTATTTTGCTTTCATTGACAATCTATCTCTGATCTGATGTCTCATGGGGTAGTTTTGTATACCAAGGACTGATGATTAGTTCAACCGCAAGATTGATACTCCTTTTCTCTGAGTGGATTCTTTTACTGGTAAGGGGTTAAGCTATTCTTTGGCTGCCATCTCAAACTCCTAACAGTAAACTCCATTTCTGTTTGTTCTAACAGGGCCCTAATGACACCTATTTGGAGTGCTCTTCACCTGTTTTTCTTTCTTCTATTCTTTGCTACTTCACAGGTGTTTAATTGTATATTCTGTTGTTTTCCACTTTTCCCTGGTCCTTTCCTTCTACCCAACCTCCCTGCACACTCTTCTTCATTCCTATAGTGTATTAGTACAGGGCAATAGCACACCGGTGGTAGCCATTCTTCCCAGCAACTTGTACTTGCATATTCCGAGTCGTGATGCAGGAAAAATGTAGAGTGTTGGTGAGAAGGGAAAAAAGTTGCCCTATTTCTTCCCCCTTTCGTTCTTTTGGTGAAATTTAAGACTAGTCTTTCTTTTTGCTTCAGTTTTGTTTAGGAATTAGTAGCAAGGTACTGATAGTGCATTCTTCAAAATCTCAGTTCTAGGGAGTCCTTTTTAACTCCACAGAAAAGGGAGGGTAGGAGACATGGTTTCTACAAAGTAGGTTCTTTAAGAAAACATCAAATACATTTTTAAGGGCTTTTTGTAAAAATCTAATGAGAAAAGGAAAAAATGGCAGTTTCATTCAAAGAAAGAATACAGTTTCATTTTTGTCATGTATTTATAGGAAAGAGTAGTGAGACATAGATGGCAATTCTTTTAAAAATCCAGCTTCAGGGAGCATGTTTATCCCACAGAGACTAGGGGAAGAGAGAGAAGGTGGCATATATTCTGTTTCAAGGGAAAGAACTCCATTTTTGGGAAGGGAGACACAACTTATTTTTTCCTTCTGTTGGATCTTTGTAAAAGCAGCAGTGATGTACTTCCATGTCTTTCTGTGAAAGCCCCATCTTGAGGAGGAACTTCTTTATCCCTCCCCACTTTATCTAGAGTGTAGAAGGAGTAGAATCTTTCTTATCCCACTTGGCTGTTGTTGGATGCAGAAGCAATGATATGTTACCTATACATTAAGAAAAATCCCGCTTAGAGGCAAGCCACCACTCAGTTCCCAGACTACTTTGCACAAGATTCAAGAAAGGAGAGGTTGATAAGTGACCCAAGTAATGAGCTTGCTTAATAAACCACACCAAAACTGGTTGATGGCAGGTATATTTTTAAAAACCCAGCATAAACAGTCTGTTACACATGAAGGACAAAATCTGCTGCAGCCAGATTATAGCATGTCTTGATTTCCAGTTGTTACGCAAACAAAAGCTACAGTTCTGTGTGTACAGTGGTGCCTCGACTTACAAACTTAACTGGTTCCGGAACTCCGGTCGTAACTCGAAATGGTTGTAAGTCGAAGCACCATTTCCCATAGGAATGCATTGAAATGCAATTAATTGGTTCCGGGTGAAGAAACAAATCACCAAAAAAACCCTACAAAACACTGCAAGACCCATTGGAAATGCGATTAATCCGCTCTAGCCAAAGGGGAAAAAAAGGAAAGCAAGCAAACCATGCAAGACCCTTCGGAAATGCAAAAAAAGCAAAGCAAAAAGCAAACAAACCATGCAAGACCCTTCAAAAATGCAAAGAAAGCAAAGCAGAAAGCAAACAAACAATGCAAGACCCTTCGGAAATGCAAAAGAAGCAAAGCAAAAAGCCAACAAACCCTGTAAGAACCATCGGAAATGGGGAGGAAAAAACCCAAAAAAGCAAACCCTGCAAAACCCATCACAGCATAGAAACATAATCCCACCACCCAGCCCAAAACCATGCTGCAAAGCCCACCCAGAACAGTTTTTAAAAAGTAGAAAGCAGCATCTTACCAGGCAGTCCGAAGCCTCCTCTGATTGCACACTCTCTAACTGCTGGTACGAAAGAGCTACAAAGAAGCAGCCTCTTCATCACCAACGGTTAGCAATTTTAATTCCCCGCCCTTTTCCATGCCTTTTTCTGGTTGTAACTCGAAGCTCTGGCCACAAGTTGAAGCAAAAATTTGTGGCCAGAGCTGGTCGCAACTCGAAATGGTCATATGTCGTGACGTTCGTTAAGTCGAGACATCACTGTACTTAAATGAGAATAAGCTTCATTAATTTCAGTAGGATAGGTTTCTGAATGAATAAATGGTGCACATGATTGTGCTGTCACGAACAAGAGCGTAAAGTGTTGGAAATTAAGAAACAAAAATCTTTGCAGTACAGGTCAGATTGTAATAATTACCTCATAATCTGTGGTCACTTGCAACAATGTCATGCTTCAAAAAACACATTTGAGAGGCTTCATCTGTGTCCCGCTCCTTTGCAAGTTTCCTTCTGATTTAATTCCAAATCTGCCAAATGCCTGTCTTCAAGATTTTTCTTTGGGCCACTCCAAGAGTTCAGATAAGTAGCACAGTTGCTTGTGACCTTGTGTCTCTTTGGTAGATACTTTGCCTGGGGCTCTTGTGCTCCAATTTACTTCCTTTTTCTAGAACACACACTGGGACTCCTAAAGAATATAAGGGAGTTCCATCAAACGATAGGGTTGTGTGTTTTCTATGCTTTTATCAGTGTATTGGTGGATTCCAGTTGTTATTTTCACTCAGGAAGTGATTAGTACATAAACTGGTCAAACTTTTTATTTTTAGATTTTGAACACATCATGAACAATGCTAGGCTGTTTGACTTGTCAAATACTGTATTACATTTCTGATATAATTGTATGTTTTCTAATGTTTCCCCTAAATACTCCCAATTTCTCCCTTCCCCTTTATACCATACCGGATAACTTCCCATTTTCTCCTGTTCTCAGCAACAGCAGCTTGATGTCTCTAACAAGCACTCTACTCTAATCCTCTCACAGAGCATTCAAAGGGATGTAATAGGTTGAGCCCAAGAGCAGGTAGACACCAGTGCTGCCCGTCACACATTCCTCTTAAGTTTGGAGGTAGTGTAAGATTCCTCTCTCCTGCCTACACCTGTGTGCCGCTTGTTACAGGTGTATGTATTCTGATAGCAGCTCTCAGAATGGCTGTCTACCCCCTTTTTCACATATTGCATCCAATCCAAGATGGGACAGAACTCCTGTTTCCTCCTGTCTTGGAGCACATAAAATGTGAAATCTGTGAGCAGCCCCTACCTTTCATTCCTTAGTTAAATACCTGGTCCAGTTGCAGAGTTAAGCTTTATTCCATCACTACTTCTACAGACACTCAATAGAATAATGATTGTCTTCACACTGTGTGTTTCTGTAGCTGTGTTCATATGTTTAATTCTTGTACCCTCCGTGCTAACACTTGTGAGCCTGTGAGTCAGTCTCACTTTACACACCTGTACTCCAACATATAGTCTTGTATACCTTTTACTCAAGTTTTAGATACTGATTCCATTGGAGACTGACAGTATAAGTTTTTCCAAGCCAAAATGTGTCTTAATTGTACACATCTTTGCTCATTAAAAAATTGAGGCATTATTGCAAGAAAATCAGCCTAATTTGTAAGACACCAGGTTTGGAAATAATCTGCTTCAATTGGGGTAAACCAGTCTTTGCATGATATCATCGCTCCTATAGGTTTACCATTTTTCAGTTCCAATCCAGGAGGACGAAGACAAATACAAGCTGTCTTCTCTGGCATTGTCCATTTTCATGCTGTCCACATTTTCTGGGAAGCTAGAAAATGTATTTAGAGTGAATGAAGGTAACAGCTTTTCTTCAAACACCCCTTACCCCTCTACTTAGGAAAGCTTTTTCCAGGTTGTTTGGATGGAATTAAGGATTCTATGTCTCCCATTTGCTGAGGTAGCAGTAGTTTCTCACAAGCTGTAGATAAGTCTACGTTGACTTTCAGTGCTACATCTTTATATCTAGGTGAATAAATAAAAGAGTGTAAATGCTGATTTTGAAAGACATTCATAGTGAAATTTTGGCTTCTAGTAGGAATGTAACTTGGTATTAAAAGCCTAAGCCATTTAAAACTTCAATTTAAAATTGAAATTGCTCTGTATATTATAGTGAGATTGCTGTAAGATTTTGATTCCTCATTCAAATACTGTGTTGTCACATGGTTTGTGCCTGATTTTTAGCTGGAATTTAGACTGGGTAGTATGGTCTTAGTTAGCTAACATGTATTGATAATTAATCTTTAAGCTTGGATGTGTTCAGTTCTTTTAAAAAATGCCCTCTAGGATTTATCCAGAAAACTTGTTTAATGTTGAAATTCTGTGTGACGACAAAAGGAGACCATTTTTTCTTTTTCATTGCAGTGCTCATCTCTCCCCCTTAAGCATCTTGCCAGCCTCTGCTGAGTAAGTATACATTCCCCAAAGCAATGGGAAGCACCCATAACTGCACTGTTTTTGGTTGTGGAAGTTCTGCTCTATTTAAGTAGCCAGGAGTCAAATGTCTAGTTTAAACTTGTATTTGAAATTGACCACCCTATCCCAACCCTAATTTCACTGTAAATATCTTGGTTTTCCAAGCACACCTTCCATTCTCTATCTTATCAAAGAACATACAGCCTTCTCTGTCTCCAGATTTTGAGTGAAGTCTGTTCTTTCCCTCTGGTTTCCCTTTCTTGCTTCTCCATGCTTCTTTTGTGTCACTTCCTGAAGCCTCTGTGTACCATACTTTTTCATTTATGTCCCTGTTTTTCAGCCTGATTGCTGTTTTTTAAGTCTTTTGCCACACTGTTTTTGGTTTGCTTCTGATTTCACTTCCAAGCCAGTGGCTAAGGGAATTTAGGGATGACAGACAATAGTTTTAATTGGATGGAATTGTATATGTGTAAAGGATCTTTCAGTTTGCAGTTTGCGATCTACCTGACAGAACTGAAGAAAAATAAATACTCACTATTTATAAATGGGTATCTGTTCATTATAAAACTGACATACATATTTCTTGCTTCATTTTCATTAATGAAGCTAAATATTGACCATTAGAAAAGGTCTGAAATTATACTGTGGTAGAGTAATAGTCTAGAGTTAATCTTTTAGCAGGTTTTTGAGCATTGTGAGAAACCTGACAGAAACCTAGAAATGTAGAATGGAGTCCTCTTCAAGACTAATACCACTAGGCAGCTTACATTTGCACAGGGAGATCCTGTATACCATAAAAGTAAAGCAGGTTCCAATGTTTATTGCAGAAGCATTTGACCAGATAGGATTGTTGGCCACAATATTGGTGTTAGTCTCGTTTTCCTTCTGTAGTCTTTCTTCAAGAGGTCTAGAGTGGGAATTCTATGTGATATGTATACTCAAATTCTTCCACAAAATAATGCTAAATAACTTGTCAGTCTGATGATTAATCTTGCAGAGAATGCACTTCTTTTATTAAATACAGTGGTACCTCGACTTAAGAACTTAATCCGTATTGGGACTGCATTCTTAAGTGGAAACGTTCTTAAATCGAAGCACCATTTCCCATAGGAATGCATTGCAAACTGTTTAATCTGTATCTGCTGTTTTTTGTTCTTAAGTCGAGGAACTGTTCTTAAGTCAAAGCATTAGTTCCCATAGGAAATAATGCAAAGCCAGTTAATCCGTATCTACCTCCAGGGGGTAATTTTTTTTACTTTTTTTTCTTCTTTTGACCTAAGGTGAACTTAGGTCAAAAAAAGGGCAGGAAAAGTGGTCCCCCCCCCACTTTTTGGTTCTTAAGCCGAGGCTCCGTTCTCAAGTCGAAGCAACTTTTTGTGAACGGAGTCGTTCTTAACTCAAATTGTTCTTATGTAGGGACGTTTTCAAGTCAAGGTACCGCTGTAGTTGTCTATTGTTTGCTCAGTCTATTTGAATATATCTTTTTGTGTGTGTGTGTGTGTGTGTGTGTGTGAGAGAGAGAGAGAGAGAGAGAGAGAGAGAGAGATGAGTACTTTAGTTTTCAAGTTTGCTTTTTGCACAAATGCCCTTTTCCTTACATACAGGGAAATCAGATGATACTGCATAATGAGAAACTAAATTATTAATTAAAGAAAACTTTCCCCTCTTTTTTTAAAGCATCTTGGAAAGAACAATTAGAGCAGCTGTAGAACAACATCTCTTTGATCTGCAGAGCAATATAGATCAAGATCTGAAGAATTTACAACACCAAATGGTGTGTTATGAAGCAAATATAGAGGGGGATGAAGAAGGATCTAACAACCAGTAAGACTGCATTTTGTGATGAAAATCTCAGATAATTCCTTTAAAAACAAGTAAACTATTGTTAATATCCTAAATAGGTCCGGTATTAAGTTATTGTTTGGGAAGGAAAATGACATGTTTTAGAGAAATCTTCGAAAAGCAGGAATTGGGGGGGGGGGCAGGGGAAACAAAATAAAGAAAGGAGAAGGAAAGCAAGCTGACTTCATATTTAAGACATTTTGTCTGCGTGGTAAGTTTTAAGATAAAATAGTGAAGGAAGAGTTTGTAGACATTCAAATTAATTTCAAATTTAGTTGTCTACAAATCTGCTCTTCTCGTTTCATTTTGAGACTCCAAACTTGTATAAAACCTGTCACCTTTCCCCCTCTTTCTTTTCTCTCTGTCTTCCCTCTGTGTACACTTGGATTTTGGGATGTCTAAAGTTTGCACATTTCTGTAAACTCTTGAATTGATTTTTAGGTTATACTTAAAAACTTAATCCAATTTATTGAAAACAAAATACAATATTACACTGATTATTTGAATAATACAATAGTCTTTTGGAGATTGTGACTTTAGTGTTCATGCATATTTTCTTCACATTCGTGGACTTTTCCTTCAGTTCAAGCCTTCATTCATTCAAATCCTCAGAAAAAGAATGAATGAAGGATGCTCAGGGTACCCTGCTTAATGTTAGACAGTAACTTACATGTTGAAGAGACCTAATGTGTTGTAGTCGATAGAGTGATGGACTCAGGAGACCTGGGCTCAGATCCTTTTCCTGCTGCCTTCAGCTATTCAGTGTAGTTGTCTTGTCCGGTGAGTCTTGTATTTTTGTGATGTACCCAAAGTATGACAGCCTCAGTTTTGTCATTTATGCTTAGTTCAGAGTTAGTTCAGACTTGATTTAGTCTAAGCCTGTGGTATCTGCAAAGTTCTCCACCAGCATAATATTTCGAATGAATTAGTCTTTTCCCTGTTGGCTTTCTTTTCTATCTAGCCTTTTTTTTTCATTTTCCTGTAGATAGCTCTTTTTATCATCTCTTGTTTCTCTTCTTAGGAATGAGACTGAAAAGAATGTTAGTAATGATAGTGGGAATCTCGAAGACTGCTCTGAAACTCTGGATTGCACTAATGTAGACAATGGAGTTTTACAGTCTGCATATGATGAGAAAGAAAGGCATCAGGTAAGAGTAGTATAGATATATGCTTAGTGTGTATTGATTGTTTCCTCTGACTGTACTTAAGAAAAGTTTCAGTGCCCTCATATGTACATCTAATTGGAATGTATGCAGTTGTTTTTTTGTATGACATGTGAGGTTTGGAGAATTTAACATAACATGGTAAATAAATGAGTTAAATTGTGTAAGAAATCACTCCCAATTGCAGTTGTGTAAGAAATTACTCCATGTGGTAAACTAAAATTTAAACTGTGGTATGTGATAAACTAAAATTTAAAAACCCATATTCAGGAAGGAAGGGATACTTTGTGTCTTCAGATTATGGCCTCCTTAGGGACTGTACATAGTGCTTTATAAAAAATGAGAGGTATATCCACTGTAGATAACAGGAAAGGGAGACAGTACACTGAGGTGAGTAAAATAGATTTGGGTTACATGGGAAAAGATCGAGTGAATAGTTAGATATTTTCATCCACCTGTAGATTGCTCATGTGCATTGGGGGAAAAGTATAGAGAAAATTTTTAAACAATTACCTGAACCTGAATGTGGAAGGCAGTTTTGGAAATTCCTTTATACATTTTCTCTTCCCAAGTCATCAACAAGAGCTAAGCCAGCTATTTAATATGTACTCCAAGCACTTCGAGTTCTCCATCATGATTCACAGCTCTTTGACTGATGGACTGTTTCAGCTTCAAGAGTTAAAACTTTGTTGTTGTTTAGTCGTTAAGTCGTGTCCAACTCTTCATGACCGCATGGACCAGAGCACACCAGGCCCTCCTGTCTTCCACTGCCTCCCGGAGTTGGGTCAAATTCACGTTGGTAGTTTCGATGACACTGTCCAACCATCTTGTCCTCTGTCGTCCCCTTCTCCTCTTGCCCACACACTTTCCCAACATCAGGGTCTTTTCTGGGGAGTCTTCTCATGAGATGGCCAAAGTATTGGAGCCTCAGCTTGAGGATCTGTCCTTTCAGTGAGCACTCCAGTGAGCAAATGGATAGGTTTGTTCTCTTTGTGGTCCAGGGGACTCTCAAGAGTCTCCTCCAGCACCACAATTCAAAAGCACCAATTCTTTGGTGGTCAGCCTATGCGAACCTTTGTCGGCAAGGTGATGTCTCTGCTTTTTAAGATGCTATTTAGGTTTGTCATCACTTTCCTCCCAAGAAGCAGGAGTCTTAATTTCGTGGCTGCTGTCCACATCTTCCCCTTCTGTTTGCCAGGAGGTGATGGGACCAGTGGCCATGATCGTAGTTTTTTTGATATTGAGCTTCAGACCATTTTGTGTGCTCTCCTCTTTCACCCTCATTAAGAGGTTCTTTAATTCCTCCTCACTTTCTGCCATCAGAGTGGTATCATCTGCATATCAGAGGTTGTTGATATTTCTTCCGGCAATCTTAATTCCGGCTTGGGATTCCTCCAGTCCTGCCTTTCACATGATGTATTCTGCATATGTTAAATAAGCAGGGAGACAATATACAGCCTTGTCGTACTCCTTTCCCAATTTTGAACCAATCAGTTGTTCTATATCCAGTTCTGTTGCTTCCTGTCCTACATATAGATTTCTCAGGAGACAGATAAAGTGGTCAGGCACTCCCATTTCTTTAAGAACTTGCCATAGTTTGCTGTGGTCTACAGTCAAAGGCTTTTGCATAGTCAATGAAGCAGAAGTAGATATTTTTCTGGAACTCTCTGGCTTTCTCCATAATCCAGCGCATGTTAGCAATTTGGTCTCTAGTTCCTCTGCCCCTTGTACTTCTGGGAGTTCTCGATCCACATACTGCTGAAGCATAATAATCTTGCTAGCGTGTGAAATGAGTGCAATTGTACGGTAGTAGTTGGAGCAATGTTTGGCACTGCCCTTCTTTGGGACTGGGATGTAGACTGATCTTTTCCAATCCTCTGGCCACTGTTCGGTTTTCCAAATTTGCTTGCATATTGAATGTAGCACTTTAACAGCGTCATCTTTCAAGATTTTAAATAGTTCAATTGGAATGCCATCACCTCCACTAGCCTTGTTGTTTGCCATGCTTTCTAAGGCCCACTTGACCACTCTTCAGGATGTCTGGCTCAAGGTCATCAACCACACTATCTGGGTTGTCCGGGACATCCAGATCTTTCTGGTATAATTCCTCTGTATATTTTGCCACCTCTTCTTGATATCTTCTGCTTCTGTTAGGTCCCTACCATTTTTGTCCTTTATCATGTCTGTCTTTGCACAAAATGTTCCTTTAATATCTCCTATTTTCTTGAGCAGATCTCTGGTTTTTTTCCTTTCTATTATTTTCCTCTATATCAGTGATGGTGAACCTTTTTGAGCCTGAGTCCCAAACTGCAAAACAAAATCAACTTATTTATTTCAAAGTGCCAACACTGCAATTAAAACCCGAATACTGAGGTTTTAGTTTAGAAAAAACAACAACTGCTTCTGCACTGCAAGGTTTATATTCTTGTGTTTTTTTTTTTCCCCCTATGGAGGGTATTAACAAATAAATACTTACTGGTCCTCCAATCCCCCATTGGGTTAGACCAGTAATGGTTGCCATTGCACCCCTCCACTGGACCACTGCACCAGCAGAGGGGAGTGCCAAAATCCAGGACTGGAGGATGGATAAGTATTTCTCGATGTGTCTTACAGCTCGGGTGCCCACAGAGAGGGCTCTGCGTGCCAGCTGTGGCACGCGTGCCATAGGATCGCCATTCCTGCTCTATAACTTTGCACTGTTCATTTAAGGAGGCCCTCTTGTCTCTCCTTGCTGTTCTTTGGAAGTCTGCATCGGACTTTCCTTTCACTTCCAGGTGCGTCCGCAACTGAGCGTCCTTTCGGTTAGTTAAAACTAGCAGGTTCAAATGTAGAATAATGCAGTCTTTTACCAGTGTTTAACAGACGATCAAAATTTGGCTCTGTAATTCTGCTGCAGTGTTGAAGAGTACAAATGCCTGCTGCTAGCAGCACTGTATCGCATTCTGTCCACGTTACCGCTTTTTTTAGCAACAAGGATTAATAGTACTTTTTAGATAGTCCTCCAGATGATTTGTTTTACATAAGCTGACAAGAGGACTTTAATATGCTTGTTGTTTGGCTCAGATCTTGCCTCAGTTTTGATCTACATTTGCAATGTTTTATGGGGTCAGATTTCAAAAAATATTTTCTTCAGGAGCTTACAAATTATCTAAAAATGAAACTCATATCATGTGCCCTGACAATCTTGAATATGTTATTATTTTGACTATATTTGTATGTTCTTTATATCTGAATATATGGAATGATTTGGAATAGAGCTACATAGTTTCTTGTTGATTTTCTTTAGAAAATTATGGCTTTCTGTGTGTTTTTGGTATGCTAAAATCTGTTTCCTTGAACAGGATGCAGGCATATTATTGAAGCCATGTGATGGAGGAGGAGAAGCTAAAGAAGCTATTGGAGATAAGTACGTATTTCAATATATACGGAAGTATTGAGGAGTATGAGGGCTGTGACAGTGCTTGTTTCTAGTAACAGTTTTGTGAAGTGATGAAGTGATTTGTCTTCAGAGAAAATTACTAAAGGTGGCATTGTCTAGAATTTCTTTCCCAGCATGATGAGTTTTGTTTGCTTGTCAGGTTGTAAAAAGAAGCAACTATTGCAGTCAACTTTAACAGTTGAAATGCATTTATTCTTTAAAAACAGAATTGGTGTTATTGTCATCCTTAGTTTTATGTTATAATTTGGAGGTAGGCTACTTTTAAAAAGGGATACCTTGAGTTCCAGGAGGGGGAATGTTTCATCTCAAAATTTGAGAATGAAAAAAGCTTTCTGTGTTTAAAATACAGGTACAGTATTTGCAGTTTATTAGCGGCTGCTTTACAGTAAGAAAAATGAAATATCAAGCAAGAAGGAATTATGTATAAAACCTCTTATTTGTTCTAGGAGTCATACCCTTATCTGTTTATACAGTAATGGAAATATCAAGGCCTCTCACTTATGAAAGATTGAAAATCTTCTGAATCCAAGTGTCTACGTTGACCAGATTGCTGCTATGCATTCAGGCTCAATTCGGATAAATCATGGTTTGGCATGATATCTGAATTGACAAATCATTATTTGTAATCAGATGACAACCAGGACCAGAAACTATTACAGTGGTGCCTCGCTTGACGACGATAATCCGTTCTAGCAAAATCGCTGTAGAACGAAATCGTCGTCAAGCGAGAGTAAAAAACCCATTGAAATGCACTGAAAACCGGTTCAGTGCGTTCCAATGGGCGAAATACCTCAGCATCCAGCGAAGATGCTCCATAGGGCGGCCATTTCCTGGTGCCTGTATAGCGAGGAATCTGTCCTAAAACACAGCGGGGAGCCAATTTGAAAACCTGACAATCAGTTGTTTTGATCGTCGTTAAGCAAAAAATCGGTTCCCGAAGCAGGGAACCGATTGTCATTAAACGAAAAAAAACCATACAAACATTGTTTTGCGATCGCTATAGCGATCGCAAAATACTCATCATTAAGCGATTTCCTCGTCTAACGAGGTAATTGTCAAGCAGGGCACCACTGTACTTGAAAGGTGTTTGCAAACCATGGTTGTTGCAGCGAACTGGTTTGCTGTAAAATCTGAATGCACAAACAATAGTTATGGATCTTGCTGCTAGTCTTGTTTACAAAGGATGCTACATCTAGAGATGGGAGTGCTCGACAAATGGGAAGTGAAAGCAGACAAGTAGATCTGTTTGGTGGTTTGCCTCATTATGGAAGCTTAAGCCATACTTTGATTTCTGAACTGTGATTGATGCAAACCATAGTTTGGTATGATGTCTGAATTGAGCCTATATATGTGGTATAAAAGAATAAATTGTCTTCACAGATGCTTTGAAGTAATAATCTGCTCAAACAATAATAAGACTCTGTTTATAGGCAAGATTGTACATCATTTGATGATGGCGACAAAATGACGTCACACATGATTCTGGTGAGTGTTTGCTTCATCTCTAAAAAACCTAGTCCAAAATCTTAAAACGTTCTACATGCTCCTGTTTGCACCTTCACTTAGAACAAGGGTAGGAAACATCTTCGGCTCAAGACTTGCTGTCTGTTTCAGAGAAAGTCTTAGAGGCAGCATTCCACTGATGGGTGAAACAGAACGTGGTGGTGGTGGTGGGGGGACAGAACAAAGAACATGTTTTAGTTTAAAGCTCTTACTGTTACTAATCAAGCCATAGACCTTTTAGAATGGAGAAAAACATAAATGCTGGAAAACCACCAAAGGGTAACAGCATGGGAAAGAAGCCACCTAGGAGACTTCAGAGGGCTGGATTCAGACCAGATTTGAGGTTCCCTGTTCCTGACTCAGAAGAATGTGTATTCTCCAGAGCCTTTCAAAGGGCATTCCTTACTTCAGGGTAATGCTGTAATCTGTAACAGATAGGCTAATTTAATGTTGCCTCCCTAGCAGGAAGACCTGACCTGCTCTCCCAGACTGGGAGTGCTTAAAAAGTCAGGCTATGTTCTTAAGAGCCAATTTCTACTTTAAGGCCTCCTCCATCTGTGTTTCTTTTTCTCTCCAGGCTTTCCCTCTTTCCTTCTGAAACTTCTAGGAAAGACTGTAGGGATCTTAATCCCCATAAAGTATTTAATTGTGCGTGTACAGTTTTAGGGGAAAAAAAACACAAATCTTTGTAGATTTTTAATTGTCCTAATGTTTCCTGGCTGTTCACATTTTTTTTCTAGATAGGAAAGCATGCTGAAGGGCAAAGTACAAGTATGCTGTGAACTGGGAGTAAAGAGGCAAGAACAGTATAAATAACATTGTTATTTGTTTACAGGGTTTTGCGGGCAAGGTTTGTGATCCAAATGTCAAAACTGAATTAGAAGAACTGAAAAACAGAAATAACAATGCTCCTGAAGCCACGCTGTGTGCCCCTATACCAAACCTTGATTTGAAGAATGCGAATGGTGGTGATGAATGGGAAGGTAATTGTGACTCTCGTGATGCTGTTAAAAACACAGAAAGAATATAGTAACGGAAAATGTAATTGTTGTTCCTTGATTTTGGCTTATCTTGTAGTGAGAATAGAGACTTTTAGAAAGCTGTTTGAAATATACATGAAGGCAAAACGTTATAGGTTGAGACTTCCATATTGGTCACATACAGAAAATATCAAATAAACACGTATTATTCACTCAAACCGCTAAGAATCTGATGAGATCCTACTAATGTTCATGTACATTGTTGTATATTTTTTAGTATTTATGAGAATGTTTTAAGTATTTGAATTTGGCTTTCCCATTTTCATTTAGTGTAATAAATGTACTGTAAACCTCTGGGGAATCATTTTCTAGGCAGCAAATGGCAGGAGGTTAATGGGATTACACCAGTTGAATGATAACCATCCCCTTCATGGTTGAAACAAAGCAGAGGACTTGTCTGACCACATAGGGCCAACTAATAATTTCCTGTCCCGGAACAAGAAACAAAAGGATGGCTTTTTTGTTGCTATGTAGCCGCCAGACATATTTTTCTTATCTTTGGATCAAAGGAGATGTGGCGATTCCTTCGCCCCATATTAATTGAAGAAACCAGAGTGATAGCTATTCGGGTATTCTCCATACCTCTTCTTTCCTGCAAGAAAGAATCTCCTCAGCCACATTGTGTTCATATCAGCAGAGGCTTGGCAATCACCATTTTAGCTTGGATGTTAAAGCTAGCCAGATGTTGAAAACAAAACAACTAAGTTAAGATGTAATACCAGTACATCATTTGATGCTATGAGGATGACCATGGAAGATGAAGTGGGCTCCTGCACTCCCTTCTTTCAGTCTCATAAAATGCTCCAAGTTGTCAGTTACTTCCTGGTTTTCAGCAAACAGTAGTTTCCCTTATGTTCAAGTTGGCCACCTGATTCTGTGCTCTGTGCTGTAGAGCAGCACAAGCCATAGTTTCCTAGTTTGGGTATAAAGGCAAACTGTCATTTCCTGTTAACCAGAAAATAACAGCTTTGAGCTTAAAGTAAGGATGGGAGAAGTGCACGTGAAGGTGAATTTCCTCTTTAGCTTCAGATTATGGAGCGGAGCCAAGTATTAATATTAATTTTGAACTCATATTAATCTTCAGATAGATAACACATTCTGTTCTAAATTACTCCTGAATGGTAAAAGATGTACTGTACTTTTGTTGCCTATAAAGTTATTATTTTTAATGGCTCTTTGTTTAGATAGTAGGAATATCACATTTCAGAGAAGAGGTTGTGACAAGTAAGAGACAAGCAACAGACAGACTTCTTGCTCTGTTTGCTGTTATTCTCTAGGACAAAGTTCCAGAGAAGTACAATAGGGTTGGGAAAACAGTTCCAGATTATCTTCCTTCTGCTTCCTAGTGGAATATTGCTCCAGGAGACTGCTCTCTTGAGATCTTCTTTCTGTGACCTTGGAGGCTACATGCCAGGCAGATTAAGAATTGTATCAAGAGAAATCGCCTTTGCATTCTTGGAAGACTACATGTAACCCTTTGGATTCTGGACTAGATCGTCCCATCCTCTGTTCTCTTCTTCAACTCAATCAATTTGAATTTTTTTTGTTATACGAATTACATTCCCAGTGTAAGCTTCTGTGATTCAGCCAAGTTCAGTAATTTGCAGAGCCAGGGCTGTTTTGTGGTCAAAAATCTGGTTAAACCAGTATTTGTTTTAATGCTTATCATTCTAATATCAAACAAATGCATGTTCACAAGTAATTTAATCCTTACTGCTATGAACTTTCCCTTCATTTTGGATTGCTGTTATCTTTAAAATGAATGTGAGCAAAGTCTGTCTTGTGTGAAAATCTTACTTTGTTTCAAATACGTTTTGCTAAAACATGGGAAAGCATGTGGCTTTTTTGTTTGTCACCTCTGATCCAGTACTTCCTGAAAGGCTTTTAATTAATAGGGGCCTAATCTTGACCAGTGCAAGGCATCATCCAGCTACCCCACATCATTGGGAATTGAGTGTCCACACCTGACTCATAGTTAATTGGAAAACTTTTCTTTGTGGGGCTATATACTTCCTACATGTTATGTATGGTTTGTTCTAACTGTGCAATGTGTTCACTTCAGTATTTTTTGCCATTTTTTCATTTATTAGCGCCATGCCCTATCACTTTTCCCCTCATTGATTTCAAAACAATGCATCTACAGAGAGAAGGGGAGGGTAAGTATGGTTCGCCATACATTCAGTTATCTGCCTTTTTCATGGTTTATGGTTGCTTTAAAATTATCCCTTTACCTGCTGCCATTTAAGGACTATAAGTTAGTGGTAGCATACATTCTTTGCATGCAGAAAATTCCAACTTTGCATCCTGGCATACCAGGTTTAAAGGATTCTTGCCTACAAGCCTGGAAAAGATCTCTGCCTTTGGAAGACTATGGCCAGCCAGATTAGATAATATTCTACTCAATGGAACAATTACCTTCTTCTGCATAGAGTAGCTTCTTATTATTAGATGTTGGCCTGTCTTTTAGTTTAAGTAAGTGATTTCTCAAAAGCATTTTTTGTACTTAGTGGGAAGCAGGCATCAGCGGGTCAGTCAACATATTGCCGCGTTGTTAGTCTGTATATTTTGAGCTTAGTTTTAATTAAAGATTTACACTGGAAATTAAAATGTGGGCTCTGTGTATCCTAATAGCAACTAAGCAGACAAATTAAAACTATGATAATTAAAAGTATTATCATTCTTGGAATTCCCTACTTCCAGACTCTTTAGAACGATCAGAAATTTTTTGAAACTTACAGTTCAATTAATTATTTTGTTACCACTAATATGAATTTACATAGAATTTTTATTTGCATTGGAAATTATCATGCTGTTCTTCATTATACTAGAATTAGAATGAGCTATTCCAGTATATCAACGTATGTTTCAGACTACTCATATGTAGCAGCACAAATAATAAATGATTCTTTCTCTTTTCTAAAAGTTGGAAATGTTGACATCATTGTCTAAAGTCTTTCTGCAGATGGATCAGTGGAATAATTGTTAATTCAAAATATTTCAATGTGTTGTGTATTTTTTTTTCCTACATAAAGCAACTATTATCATATGGCTTATATATTTTTGTTACATTTGTCCTGGATGTTAAAGAGAATGCACACTGTACATAATTTAGCATGCAGAACACACAGCTTTATAAAGTAATGCATGTGGATTATCCAAGGAAATGCATAAAGTTTACACACTATAGAAAATTGTTATATATATATATATACTTGAACTACGCTGGGCTGTTTGTGTGTTTTGATGTGAGCTTTCCAGTGCATTTCTCAATTCATTTTGTGTATAACAAACATGCATAAGCATCAGATATACACTTGGCCCTCTCATATCCCACTGTCATTGTTTTCTGTTCTGTTTTTTTGTAGAGCCATTTCCTGCTTTTAAATCTTGGCATGAAGACAGTGAATCTGGAGAAGCTCAGCTTTCTCCACAAGCTGGAAGAATGAATCATCCTTTAGAAGAGGATAGTCATCCAATTTTGTCACATCGAAGTTTGGATTTTGGGCAAAGCCAGCGTTTCCTCCATGATCCAGAAAAAATAGATTCTTCATCTAAAGCACTTTCTTTTGTTAGGTAGGTAGTCCACAAGTAAACTACATAACAAAAATATTAAACCTGGAATTTTCATCTGTCTGAAACCAATATTAGCGGTGCCATGACATGACGGGTATACTGACTATCTGGTTGTACTTTAGAAAGCTGCTTTTTCCAGTTCTCTTTGCTACATGTTACTGTGACAAACCCAGACCTACTGGGATCTATCACACAGTTACTAAGCTGCCACCAACCATTCCCTATAATAAGTCACACAGACCAGGGATGGATTTTTAAACAACAAAAGAATAAGGTTTATTTTAAATACAAACAGGGTAAATAAAACAATCAGGTGAATAAAATAAAGTAACGTGGCTTATTCTCACACACACAAGCATACAGTTTGGTTCACCTAGAACCTTTAACTTAAAGCGCAGACCCTGAACCCATCAGTTCTGGCTAACCAACAGACCCCTGAACCTATCAGGGTGGTACTCTGACCCACAGTAGTACCCTGTCAGACACCCAGACTCCCACAACAGCTTCTTCTTCCCCAGCTGCTGCTTCGTCCCAACCCAGTGTCTCACAGTCTGTCTCAGCATCTCCTTTCACCACACAGGCATCACATATTTATACAGTACAGCCCCTCCTCCTGATGTCCCGCCTTCCACTCCCCATAGGATGGAACTTTCCCTCCAAACCCATGACAGACAGGTAACATCAGTGCTGTTATGTAACACCTCCCCTCTTTAAAAGTTGTTTTGTAGGGGGAAAGCTAAAAGTGCTTTTCATTATATACATATAGTCCATGTTCTTTCGCCGTCTTCATTCTTCAGGTCTTCTTGATAAGGCGTCAGCAACACAGTTCACTGACCCTCTGACCACCTTCACTTCAAAGTCATAGTCCTGTAGGTTTAAAGCCCACCTCATAAGTTTGCTATTGTGGGTTTTCATTGTCTTTAACCATTGCAATGGTGAATGGTCAGTACACAGAATAAAATGTCTTCCCCAGATGTAAGGCTTGGCCTTCTGGATCGCGTAGACTATGGCCAAACACTCCTTCTCCACGGTTGCCAAATGTCTCTCACCTTTTTGAAGTTTCCTACTCAGGTAGGACACTGGTTGCTTGTCACCATTCTCATCCTCCTGGCACAGAACTGCTCCTACCCCGCTGTTAGACGCATCGGTGTAGATGACGAACTCCCGGTTGAAGTCTGGAGCCCGCAGGACAGGATAGTTGATTAGCGCCTGCTTCAACCTCTGGAACGCCTCCTCACAGTCGCTGGTCCACGGGATGCGGTCATCAGCCTTCTTCCTCGTCAGATCGGTCAGCGGAGCCGCAATCTCGCTAAACCTCGGGATGAACTTTCTGTAGTAGCCCACCAACCCAAGAAATGATTTGACTTTTTTCTTGGTGTTGGGTCTAGGCCAATCACGAACTGCTTCTATTTTGGCCTCTAGGGGTTTTATCATTCCTCCCCCTACCATGTGACCTAAGTATTTTATTTCTGGGCTACCCAGCTGACACTTGCTGGCCTTTACTGTTAGCCCTGCTGCACTTAACCTCTGCAGCACTAACTCCAGGTGTATCAGGTGATCTTCCCAGGTATTACTGAAGATCCCTATGTCGTCAATGTAGGCCACTGTAAAGTCACTGAGCCCTGCCAAGGTCTGGTCCATCAGCCTTTGGAATGTGGCTGGTGCATTTCTGAGACCAAAGCTCAGGACTCGAAATTCATAGAGACCAAAAGGGCTGCAAAAGGCAGTCTTTTCTTGATCCCTGGGATCAATTCTTAATTGCCAATATCCCTTTACCAGGTCCAATGATGAGATGAACCGACAACCCCCTATGGTTTCAATCAGGTTGTCTAGCCTGGGCATTGGGTAGGCATCAGGAGTGGTTACACGGTTTAATTTCCTGTAATCGACACAAAACCTAATGCTCCCATCAGGCTTGTCCACAAGGACTATTGGAGAGGACCAAGGGCTAGAAGAGGGGACGATTATGTTCTCCCTCAGCATTTCGTCCAGCTCCTTCCGCACCTTGTCCCTATAGGGTCCCGTTACTCGGTATGGGGATACTGCCTGCGGGGGTGCATCCCCTGTGTGGATCCGATGCATCACTCCCTTCACTATCCCCGGCTTGTTGGAAAACACCTGTTGATATTTATTAAGCAGCATTTTTAGTTCTTGCTGCTGGTCTTGGGTGAGTGCAGGACTGATCTTTACCTCCTCTGGGTTGTATTTTACTTCCCCTCTACCCTCCCAGAAGGGTAATTCCGCTTCCTCACTCTCAGCTGCTTTTATAGCAAATAGAACCCTCTGTTCCCCTCTGTAGTAGGGTTTTAGGGCATTCACATGAACCACCCTCCTTGCTTGGTTCTCCTCCTGCTCTATTAGGTAGTTCAGGTCTGACATCTTGGAAATGACCCTATATGTTCCTGCCCATTTGAGCTGCAGTTTGTTCTCTCTGCAGGGCCTAAGCCAAAGCACTTCCTCCCCTGGGTCAAAGTGCCTCTCTCTAGCTTTGTGGTCATACCATGTTTTCTGTCTGACCTTCTGAGCTTGCAGGTTTTCTGCTGCCAGCTCTAGATTTCTCCTTAGGTCATTCATCAAGGTGTCTATGTATGTCACAACGTCTTGTGGGTCATCCTGGGTGATCTGCTCCCAATTTTGCTTGATCAAATCAAGGGGCCCTTTCACCCTTCTCCCAAATAAAAGTTCAAATGGACTGAACCCGGTACTGGCTTGTGGCACTGATCGATAAGCAAACCAAAGGGATTGCAGCTTCTGGTCCCAATTGTTTGGATTCTCTGCCAAGTAAGCCCTAATCATGCGCATTAGAGTCCCATTGAACTTCTCAGTTAACCCATTACTTTCAGGATGATAGGCAGTGGTTTCCTTGTGCTTAATTCCACAGATTTGCCATAAGCGTTTCATGAGCTTTGATGTGAACGATGCGCCCAAATCTGTGATTATTTCTGAGGCAAATCGCATCCTGGACATATACCCCACCAAGGCATCTGCCACTGTGTTAGTTTCAATGTTAGTCAAGGGTATGGCTTCAGGATACCTTGTGGCATGGTCCACAATTGTTAGAATGAACCTGTTCCCCCTCTTTGTGGCCTTGGGCCAAGGTCCCACTATATCCACCCCTATGCATTTGAACGGAGTGTCAATCACAGGCAAAGGGCACAACTTTGCTTTGGTCCTGTCGCGGTTATTCCCCTGCCTTTGACACACATCGCATTGTTTACAGAACTCCCTGATCTGCTTCCCTATGTCAGGCCAGTAGAAATTCTGTGTGATTCTCTGCTGTGTTTTGTTGACCCCTAAGTGTGCAGCAAACATGTCAGAGTGCCCCCTTTGTAAGATCATGGGGCGATACTTTTCAGGTACCACCAGTTGACTTCTGATCCCATCTCCCCCTTTTGAGATGTTCCTCAGGGTTTCTCTATATAAAATCCCCTTTTTCTCCAGAAATTTCATTGGGGTTTCAGGTGTTAGCTGGGCGTCAGTCACCTGTTCGAAACACTTTTGGAGAGTGGCGTCTGCCTTTTGCTCCTGTCCAAATCTGCTGTCTGTGGTTAAGGTTTCCACCACAGCTTCTGAACTCCCCTCTGCTTCCGTCTCTGGCTCATCATTACCCCCCTGAACTGTCCCTGTGGTGGCTTGTGAGCGTGTAATCACTAGCACCCGTTTCACATGTTCAGCCAGGTCATTTCCCACGAGCACGGCTGCTGGCAGAGTCGATGAAATCGCTATCCGCCAATCTCCCCTCCAGCCTTGAAAGTTGACAGGTACCTCTGCTACTGGCAGAGAGATTATCTGCCCCTCAATCCCTGCTACCTTTATGCTCTCATTTGGGATTATAAACTCCCTAGGGATGATATCTGGATGGCATAGGGTTACTTGGGAACAAGTGTCCCGCAGCCCCCCTATATGAAATTTTGGCTGCTATGTAACTTGAAAGAGGAAGTAAGGAAGTAAACAGATTTGCTTTACCTGAGAGCAGTATTTATAAACGTCATACTCTGAAGTTTTCAATAAATTTCTGTTACAGTGGTGCCTCACTTAGCAACATTAATCCATGCAGGAAAAAAGTCGCTAAGCGATTTCATCGCTAAGTGGTTTTAAAAAGCCCATAGAAACGCATTAAAATGCGTTTAATGCGTTCCTATGGGCTTAAAAACTCACCTTATGCAAAAATCCTCCATGGGGCGGCCATCTC